GTCAGTCACTAATGCCCATAAGATAAAATCAAAACTCTATAACCTGGTCTCTCATGTTCTAGCTCTAGTTTTATCTCTTATTTCTACCATTCCCTCATCCCAATTGAATGCTACAAACACTGTTCTCTCTCACCCTGGGTTTTTGCATTTGCTGTGTGCTTTATCTCATACGCCTGGCAAATACTCTCCACTTCCGCTGGAATTCTCTCCAGACTCCCTTAGTCAGCTTTGATTGCTCCTGGTTTTGTTTTTTTTTTTAGTTAATTTTTATTGGAATATAGTTGATTGACAATGTAAATCATTTGTTTCTGCTGTACATATGTGTATATATATACATATATATTCTTTTAATAGATTCTTTTCCTGTATAGGTCGTTACAAAGTATTGAGTAGAGTTCCTGTGCTATACAGTAGGTTTTTTTTTTTTTTTTTTTTTGCGGTACGCAGGCCTCTCACTGCTGTGGCCTCTCCCGTTACGGAGCACAGGCTCCGGACGCGCAGGCTCAGCGGCCATGGCTCACGGACCCAGCTGCTCTGCGGCATGTGGGATCTTCCCGGACCGGGGCACGAACCCGTGTCCCCTGCATCGGCAGGCGGACTCTCAACCACTGCGCCACCAGGGAAGCCCCCAGTAGGTTCTTATTAGTTATCTACTTTGTGATTGGTCCTGCTGTGATGCTCACTCAGCATTCTCTTATTACCCTATGACACCACTGTCCTTCCCTGCCAGATCATAAGCTCCTTGGGACCCAGGAGGCACTCAATATTTGAATGAGTATAAAGTTGAACAAGACAGGTTCTTGTTCTTGAGAAACTCCCAACACAGTGTGGCATGCAGAGCAGTAAACCACGTCAGACTGTGTCACTCCCTACCGCATACCTCCAATGCTTTCTAAGTCTGCTGTTTCTGTTTTTTTATCACGATGTCCTGTTTCCCAGATAGTCCTTGTGTACTGATCACTGTATTGAAATAAATCCCTTGGAGGAATAATTTGAGGTCTACGAAGAGAATAGCTTTCTCCAGAGAGGAGTTTCAGTTGCTTCTGATCACCTCCTGAGGACACGGCCGGTCACGGACCTCTTCTTAATCTAGGTCCACAGCCTGACATTCCCCAAACCACTCCAGGGTGCAAGTCTGAATCAGGGCTGTTTCCTCAAGTGACCTTTACTCTGGGAGTGGAATTCTACCGGGTTGTGGCTTTTAGGTTTTTTTTTTTGCTGGAGGACTAGCCCGGCCAGCTGGGCTCCCAGGAAACCGGGCCCGCCCTCTTTAAGTTAGTTTTGATGGGTAGGATGTTGGTATAGTGACTCAGACTCATTTGGGGCATACCCTGGGCTTTGTTTTCTGGGCAAACTTCCCTGTGATATCGCCCACACAATGGCTCAGTTTCCTAATTCTCTCCCAACTGACAAATGCCCTGAGAACAGAGGCATCTCTGAGTGCTAGGCTCATCTCTTTGTTTAGTGGAAACTTTGAAAAATCCATTTCAATCTTACCCTGACTCGTAAAGCCCTCTATCATTTGGCCTTTGGCTTCTGCTCCCCCAGTCTCTGAACCAGACACCTCATCCTCTGGGCTGACCTTCATACAAGTCTTGTCCTAGAGCTTTGAAAGTACTTTGTCACCTTTGTGCTTGCCTAGAACCCATCCACAAAGTTTGTATTTTTCAAGTCATGACAACAGTTTTTGCAAACAACGTGTTCCTCTAATTATCAGAAACTGCCACTTATCTGTACCCCTTCAGGATCGTCACTGTTGTATTATCTATTTCTTATCGCCCTTATCATAGGCCTTTGGAAGATATATGCTTTCTCTCATCTGCCATCCTTCTTGGTATAGGAGAGGTCATCACTAAGTATTTGCTTAATGTCCATTTTTAACCTTAGTGTCAGGTTTACCTTTATTGATCTCAGAGTCCCTTAGATATATTTAGTTTAAAACAATTATATTCTTAATTTGTGAATACATTCAAGCAATTTCCCTCAGAGATAAAGCATTTTATAAAAGAAAGCAAAACCTATTAAGGATGACAAATGACTTACTTTAAAGCAATTTTTTTCAAATTCTCTGGGACAGGAAGGGTAGGGTGTCTTGCTATAACATTTCACACAGATGGTGGTTTGGTTTAGATGTTATGTTTCAAAATTGCTAGTGCCTAAGTTTCTTGAAAAAGCTAGGATAGAAATACAAGCACAATCAGGTTAATTCAACTAACATTTATTAAAAGCTTATGTGGCAACTAAGACCCAACACACCCAAATAAATAAATAAATATTTAAAAAAAAAAGCTTATGTACTGTGTGCCACATGCTGGATACACAAACACAACTGAGACATTATCCCAGTGTAAAGAGTTCCAGATAGAAGACTGGTAGGGGGTAAAGAGGGAAGGACAAAGACGGTAACTTTATAACTACATCTGAACTGGACCTTGCAGGTAGAAAAGCAGAAAATGAACATTCTAGGAACAGCGGAGAACATCAGCAAAGTACAGGTGGTCTTGTGGCACTGTTGCTTACGGAACAAGGTATGTGGAGGGCTGAAGAGCAGCCTCGGAACATCAGGACCAGGCAGTGATGTCATAATGACAAGGGGACTGGAGAAAAGGGGAAGAAATTCCAGAGATGGTTTGAACGTAGGCTCAACAGGACGGAAAAATGTCTGAGAGGACTAGTAAATAGTGTTAGATTCTTCATTTTGATAACTAAGTTGGATAGGAATGCAATTAACTATAACAGAAAAAGACATATGAATGGCCAAGAAGCACATGAAAAGATGCTCAACATCACTAATTATCAGAGAAAGGCAGATCAGAACTACAACGAGGTATCATCTCACACCAGTCAGAATGGCCATCATCAAAAAATCTATAAATAATAAACGCTGGAGAGGGTGTGGAGAAAAGGGAACCCTCTTGCACTGTTGGTGGGAATGTAAATTGATACAGCCACTATGGAGAACAGTATGGAGGTTCCTTAAAAATCTAAAAACTGAACTACCATATAACCCAGCAATCCCACTACTGGGCATATACCCTGAGAAAACCATAATTCAGAAAGATACATGCACCCCAATGTTCACTGCAGCACTATTTACAATAGCCAGGTTATGGAAGCAACCCAAATGTCCATCAACAGAGGAATGGATAAAGAAGATGTGGCATACACACACACACACACACACACACATACATACATACATACACACAATGGAATATTACTCAGCCATAAAAGGGAACGAAATTGGGTCATTTGTACAGACGTGGATGGACCTAGAGACTGTCATACAGAGTGAAGTAAGCCAGAAAGAGAAAAACAAATATCGTACATTAACGCATATATGTGGAATCTAGAAAAATGGTACGGATAAACCTATTTGCAAAGCAGAAATAGACATAGATGTAGAGAACAAACGTGTGGACACCAGCGGGGGAAGAGGGGGTGGGATGAATTGCGAGATTGGGATTGACATATATGTGCCGCTGGGTATGAAACAGATAACTAGTGGACCTGCTGTAATGGCATGGGGAACTCTACTCGGTGCTCTGTGGTGACCTGGGTGGGACGGGATATGTGTATACATATGGCTGGTTTACTTCGCTGTACAGCAGGAGCTAGCACAACACTGTAAAGCAACTATACCCCAATAAAAAAAGGTTAAAAAAACCCCACCATATGAAAGATAAAAGAGGGCTTCCCTGGTGGCACAGTGGTTGAGAGTCTGCCTGCCGATGCAGGGGACACGGGTTCGTGCCCCGGTCCGGGAAGATCCCACATGCCGCGGAGCGGCTGGGCCCGTGAGCCATGGCCGCTGAACCTGTGCGTCTGGAGCCTGTGCTCCGCATCGGGAGAGGCCACAACAGTGAGAGGCCCGCGTACCGCAAAAAAAAAAAAAAAAAAAAAAAAAAGATAAAAGAAAGAGGCATTTGGGGGGCTGAGAGTGGAGGTAAGAAATTTTTCACGTTAAGTTGCCTTTTCTGCAGGATATAGCCAACCACATTAGGGTCTTGCCTGATGATATATATCTACCCACATTAGGTCCTTGATCAACTACACGTATGAGAAGATATTCTCCACCTTACTTCCTTATTTCAGCTTTCCTTATTTGACCCTTTTATTCAGTTCATGTTTAATTTTGCCATGTGTTACGTTAGTATGTAAAGTACTGTGGAATATAGGGAGGGTTTCAACAAAACCACTTACCCACAGTAGCTTAAACCAGTGAAGAAAAGTTATACCTTCTGTCGGAGGTAGAAATTATTTTAAGGATTATAATGAAAGGAGAGAGTGCCATCGAAGTACAAAGAAAGATGAACCCCGCATCTATCTAACCAGCTACTAATCTAGTTGTTTAGGGCTTGCAGAAACAGCTTGTTGGGCTAAGAGAGCTTTACGGTAGTACAGCTGCCCCAGTGAGAAGTACAGCGCTCCTGGGTAAGTAGATCCCCTGTGAAAAGAAAACTTAGAATAGCAGCAGGACATACTGAATCTCTTCCTGCCAGGAATAACTGAGATGTGGAGATATGCCCTTCTGCTTACCTCCTTCTCTCTTCTCATAGCTTCAGGAGTCAGTCATTTATGTAAGCTAGTTGATCTGTTTGTATACTTGGGAAAAGCATGTCCTCATGAATCGTACAACTTGAAGCTCAGGAGCATCAGAGTCATGGTAACTCTGAGCAAGTGCTCCAGTCTCAATTCCATCTTTTCTGAAAATGCCCAGTCTTTTATCAGGACTCAGTTAAAGCATGAAGAACCACTAAAATACACTAGGTTACACTACTAAGCAAAGATCATCTTTAAATAAAAAACCAAGTGGCTTCAGTGACTATCTTCATTCTGTTGTATTCATTTTGGAAATGAACATGTTACTATTTCCATAATCCTTTCAAGATCACAGTCTTTTATAAAGAGGAACTATTATATAAATTTTCACATTATCATAAACTACAAAAAGGTTTAATATCTATCCAATTTAGCATTGAAGTCTACAGAAGAAGAAATCAATGACAACTGCTTTATTATTAAAAGTTACTGAATTCCATAAAGCACACAATGTAGTTTGTATTCAACTAACAAAAGTTCGATACATGTATTTAAAAATATATAATATATTTATCTGTCAACATTTATATTCTATTTAAAAAGCAGTAGCTTTACATATTGTACAACTTGATTTTATAAAATACATACATCCGCCCTATGCAAATCTTCAAGCATGAGCTTCCATTCCTATTAATAAAATGCACAATCTATATTTCTGAATATTCAGAGAAAAATGGTACCAACTAAAAATAACATATCCATTATGACTTGAACATGCACCTAATTCTTGGCTACTAGATAACTGACCTAATAATCTATTCAAATAACTATGTTCCTGGAGCCTGACAATCAGTTTGCATTATGTAAACAATCTGTGATTAACTATGAAGAGACCTGCATTTCCAGGGTTATCTGACACAATCTACCAAGTTCTTTATTCGTCCTGTTTCAGGTTTTTAATTAGAGAGGCAAGATTATTCAGTAATTTGATGCGTCAGGAAATCTGACAAGTGAAGTCACATCTAACAAGCCACAGCCCAGTGAGTTTTGAAACCGTGCTTTTGCCTTTGAGAAAACAGCTGAGAATTACTGTGGGAGCAAACTTTTCTCAAAACCCTGATGGTGTACGTGCCAAGAAACAGAACAAGAACTATTTCTCCTTTCCCAATCAACTGCGCTCAACTTGCAAAACTCGAGTTCTTTAGGTTTGTGAAGACGTACTGTACTGGCTTCTATTCAGACATTCCTTCCACATATTCAAAATGGCTTCAGATATCACAGTTTTATTAACAACAAACTTTTCATAAGAAAGATATTCATGTAATAATTTTGGAGATTCATCCCCAACCATAGGTCCCAATGCTAACATTTGAGAATTAAAGTCACAATAAACACCTCAATTATCAGGACCATAGTCAGAACCAGAATTTCAACTTGAAGGACAGAGATCTGAGTTTGAAGTACATGTTTAGATTCCACGGGCCTCTAATGATAATGATGTATATAAACCTGTCTTTAATTTATGCTGAGAAAGTAAAAGTCTCCCACAAATTATTATTTTTAAAACATAGCTCCAAGTCTCAAAATGGTTTAGAAACTTAAATGGAAAAACACTTTCACCAAAATAAGTAATTGAATTCATTTGGGCAATAATTAGGCTTTGAGAGAGTCACATCCAAAAAGTAAATGAAATTCCCTCAATATCACTATTTAAGAACTAAGTTACAGCTAACAACAGCTTATTTATCAAGTAGTCAATTATTCAACAAATTTAGCCATCTACTGATGGACTAAGATTAGGTATCAGAAATTATTTTATTTGTAGGATAGAATCTTTTTATTAAAATTTTTTTCTGATATAATTTTAATAATCCTCCTTCTCTAGATTTCCTAACCTCAAGAAAGGGAAAGGGAGAGGAAAGGGAAGGAAGGAAAGAAGGGAGGGAAGAGGGGAGAAAATCTGAGCGGTCAGAGGGACACTGAAGACTGATCACTGGTATCTGTGAGGAGGCAGGAAGGAAGAAGAATAAAGGCGGAATAAAAATAAAGACTGTAAAGAGGATTAGGGCCAGGAGGTGCAGATGAAAAGATACCTTGTTCACAGATCTTAATCATGCAAAGGCATTAGCATAACAGAATAGTGCAGTAGCTGATTTTGATAACAATGAATCCTCAGAAAAGACTCATATGGTCAAGCCTCAGCTCTTTTTGAAAATAAACTTATGTACACAATCACAAATCTTAAGCATTCAGCTAAAATATGTACAAAAAACGAAATAAAAGTGAGATTGAGAAATGTAGGCAGCAGTAACCATAAAGGCTTAGAACTAGTGACACTGAATTCTTTATTTAAAAAAAATTTTTCTTAAACACACAGTACCTGCTCTTCTCTTCTATTTTTAGGAAGAAGCTTTAACAAGTTTTTAAATACCTCAATCCTCAAAAACAATAGGCTTTTTAAAAAATAAGAGTTGATTACTAGAAACAAGTAATATGTGGTTACATACCATTTTCATATCATTACTCATTTCAATTCATCTTTGATGCAATCTGGGAACAATTAAGCAGTCGCTAGATACCTGTTTTAGAATCTGAAGAAATGATTATCCACCACAGGAATCTAATGATATATATTTTTGCATATAGTTAAAATTTCTGAAGGGAAAAAGTAGTAAACTATTCTAGTTACTTTATACGAAATATTTATATACCTAGTCAAAACAATAAGTATTAAGATCTTTCTCCAGATGAACTCTATATAAAAGCTATTTTTAGCATTTTCTTCTGGGTTTTTAAAAAAAGCCTTATTTCCCTGCTAGCTAAAAAGGAGGAATTTGTACATTACAAGTAAGTCCTTTAGAGATGAATATTAAATTCCTTAAGAGAACAGCCATAAAATTTATTTTTAAAAATTTATCTTAAAAAACTGAAAACCGTTTCTCTCTTTAAAATCTATGGCATTAATTACCTACTTGACATAATTTTTTTTTTCTTTTTTTTTTTTTTGGAAAGGGCACCAAGTTCATGATCTAAACATGCAAAATAAGGAACTGAATGTACTACTGCCGTAACAGAATTTGGCAAACCAGAATGGCCTTAAAATAAATAAATAAATAAATAAAAAAGAAGAGAGTACGTATTGTCCTAAATCTGAAGGTATAATTCTGTAGACCTATGCAGCAGATAGTGCCTCATAGAGGGAATGCAGGGAAGAGGGAAGTACCATGTTCCTATGTACATTTTCTTAGTTATTCTGGCTGACATTCAACAACGCAATACAGAGAAATATTCTTTTTATTATTACAAAGCCGTTAATTGCCCTCTCTTGAGCAATGACTCAGGTAAACATCTTATGCTTTTAATAATGTAACTTATATTTAAAATTAACTTAATTAAATCTAAGTGCACAGGAGTTTTCAATGATTCCTAAATTCAAGGAAGTAACGCATAAGGTGTTACCAGATTGCAAATTTTGAATGGTCTATATTTCAGGATATTTCATCCTATCTTCTTCTCCTTAAACCATAAAATGTACCAAAATTATTTGGTTTTCCTTTGCTTTCCTCTGTGTCATTTTAATTTATTGTACGGTATCTCTATGTAGAGAGCGAGGTATGTTAAAATACTATTATTTGTATTAAAAAACTCAATTGAGGCTATATATGACCTATCAATCTATACAATAGCATTGTTAACCTTTGACCTGGTATATTAATTCCTTTGGTGAATAAATGTCACAGGTCATTTCTTTATAAAAGGATTTTAGTAAGAGGACCAGCAGTATGGAGAGAGACCCTCACCCCACCCCAGAGAATGATCAAGTGAATCAGTAGTTTAGAGCAGTTACGTAAAATATGAAAAATACATAATTTACAGCTGCAATTTGCATATTAAAAAGCAGTTAAAAACTAAGAGTAGTTCAAAGCATTCCAAAAAACATTTTTTTGTCTTGGTTAAATCAGCCAACTAATAAGACTGATAGAGACTACTGTGAGAATTTGTGTACATCTCTAGTCAAGAACAAAAATGCTTTTTAAGTTTAAACACTGGTAGTTGCTAACCAGCAGTATAAACGGTGTCCACAATTTGGTGGCTGGCCATAGTTTAAACTTTTTTTTCAAGTTATTTCTACAGCAGACATATTTTAGAAGTCTACCCACCCCTGAGTTCAACAATTATACTTTTAGAGTGTAAAATTATATGCCCTTAATTAACAACATGTACAAAGCTACAAAATGTCATCTATACAGAGATTAAAAACAATTTTTAAAATATTCTTTGCCAATTATTGATTGGATGGTTTTGCTGGGGTACATATTTCAAACCTTTTAGCCAACTGGCTTTCACTTTTAAGCCCAAATTGATCCATTATATTCACTGCAGGATATGTCAAAAAAGAGTGCAACAATAGGCATTAGTAAAAATAACATTGTAGTAGAAACAGATTTTGCATATGTGAAAAGGTAATTTATAAAATACATTAATTGCTTTTTAAAAAGAGAACCTAGTTGCAGTATCTTTAACTTACATGGTACTGAGAGTTGGACCTTTCAAACAATTTTTTTTTTCTATAGAAAAATGTTATCTAGCTGTAAGCAGTCTTAAATAACAACAAAACAAAGCAAAACAAAACAAATCCCTCCAGAACAAAACTGTATGGTTGTGTGAAACAAATAAGCAAACATACCATTCTATAGTGTACTTCTGCCTAAATTTTAAAATAAAAATGTCCACACTCTTTTGTTAAAACATTAAGCCTCTGTCAAAAATGTATTTCTTATTTTAGGGTACAGGATTGAAGGACAAGATGATACTTACAAGTAAAGAAAATTTACAAGAAAAAACTTGACAAAAGTTTTTCAATTAAAGTACTGTAACATTCAAACTTGACTTAACATAACAAAAGAAACAAAACTGCAAACAAAAATGTTTATGGATTTTCCAAACACAAATAAATGAAATAGTGTCGAGGCAGCAGGGCTCATGCTGACGGCTAGCGGGAAGTAGCAGAGTGTCATCTGCTGGGGAAAACTGTTAACGTACAAACGACAAGCCCAACTCATGGACTGCAGCAGTTTACTCGTCACTGCCATTTTTCTTACTTCCAAAATAAAGCCCTGATTAAACCATTCATACCCTATATTACTCACACCTTTACTTCAGAGACTGAGGAACTATATACAACAAATGAATTCATTTTCACCATAGGGATAACATATTGTACCTCTCTGCCAATGTCACTTGAAAACTATCCATGTCAAAACAATTTGACAGCAGATATAAACAATTCAATAAATACGCAATGATCTTTCATTACAGTCCTTTAAAGACGCATGTTAATTCATGCTGTTAACCTTAGGTTCACAGTGCATAGAATCCAAATATAAGCAGTTGGGGTGACTTTCAAAGTAATGTTGGATCCCTCACTTTATTTATAATCCCACTCTAACTGATAATGATAAGTTCATTTCATAGGCCCTATCATGCATTAATCATTGGGTGGCAGGAGTTAATGAAAATTTTTCCTGTTACAACGTCCATTGCCGGCAATGAACGTCCCAAAACCGCCAAGGAAGTCATTGTTATTGCACAATACATGAGGACCTGGAACTTTTCCAAAAGCTTAAAAAAATAAAAATAAAAAATGGAATTATATTTGACATTTCCTGACACCTGCATTAATACTGTATGACTAATAAAAGCATGTCAGTTGCCTGGACTGAACCAGCGATCAACATGCGCCCAGAATGCACACGAGTAAAAATGCAGTAAAAGGAAGTAGTCTTCATTGCCTATAGGTCACTTCCAGTCAAAGGTTAAAGTTCAAAGACTGAATGATCAAAGTGCTCATTTTCTCAGTAGGACTATCTTCTGCTAGGAGGATGATAACAGTGGCATCAACAAGTATCATCTTTAAGAAAAGGAGAAAAAAGATAATTAAAATAGTCAAGCATGCATAAGTAAAATCTGCAAGTTAGTCTAATACAGAAATAATTTCAAGTAGCAAGAAGAACATGGTTTACATTTCTGACTTGTCTCCCCCAATCCCTGCAAATAAAAAAGTCCATTTTGTGTTCGAGTATAGAGTATATAGTGACAAGCAAATCCAGCTGTACTCTTTCAGGGAAATGGTAGTTTACACAAATCTTAAAATGATATTATCATCAGTATGTTAGTTTTATCTCAAATAATAAACTGATATATGTTAGCACATATTCATGATTTACCAATCATAAGAGAATTCTTTTACGGGCAACAATTTAAAACTGTAATGAGACAGGAAGTAAACTCCTGACCAACACTGTTATGCTACTTAACACAGAATAATACAAGTTACGTCACTGAAAGAAGGAACTTCACATATGAGCTACAATCTCTAAATCAATCAGTCGTAAATGTTATTAATTTCTCTTCAGAAAATAAATTTTTCAGCAAGTGTACATATACACGCAAAGGAGGTCATTTAAAAAAAAACAATCCCACAAGTATAGTAACACCTTCTGATAGCCTCAACACATTTATGTAACACATATAAATTCTGGGGAGTTGATGACTTATTTTACAAAATTTACTTCACAAAACCTATTTGAAGGATTTTGAGGACTGGTTATTCTTCAGAAAGAATCTCTAGAAAGAAGTAAGACTAGTGGCAACTACCCAAAAGTTGTGAAAACTCTCAAGGAGAAAATTCTAAACAACTGGCCAAAATATTTTACACAAACCATCCCATGTTAGGATTGATATATTGCTAATAAAATTCTCATTCATAAAGACTCAATGAGAGCTAAAAAGCAGTAAATCTGATTTCTATGCTGGGCAAATTAGTGAAACATTCTATGATCCTATACGTTAAGGGTAATCTAAAGGGTGAAACAGACTAAATTTTAAAAATAAACTGTATCTAAATCATTAGAATCCTTTAAATAAATAAATAAATAAGAACATCTTTAAGAAGAGAACAAGTAGATAGTTTACAGCCTCTAACTGTCACATTAAAGTATCTCTTTCTTAAATGACTGTGGATCTTGGAATAAAGAGGATATATTTGTCATGGATCAGAATAAGCTTAAGAGTATGAGGAGGTTCCTTAAAACATCACTTCTCCAATAGAGTATTTTGTAACACTAGGGTCTCTTGAAATTAATACTAAAACATTTAAATCTCTAAGCTAAAAGATGGCACTAAACTCTACCTAGTATAGTATGTCAAACTACTGGGGATGAAGTTTAGTAACGTACCACATAACAATGTTTACAATAAGAAAAGTGACAGATAAAATCCAACTTAAACATAAAGCTATCTAGCTAACTAGATAGGTTTTATCTCCAAAGACATATCATCTATGATAGGTGGAACCATAAATGTATCTTTATCAGATTGTTAACTCTGAAAGTTTTTCAGTATAGTAGGCTGTTGTATGAATGTGCTACCAGACACCAAAATGATTAGGAGATCTATGAGAAGCCATTCTCCCAATCCCAACCCCCATCCCCATCTTGGGTCAGATGTTAAAAGAAGTTTAGGACTAACACGATACTACTTGCTTTGCTCTATCTTTGGAGAAATAAGCTTATTAAATAAGTTCTGAAGATGGATTTCAATTATTTCTGACAGCTGGACCCAAAGGGACTACAACATTACATATCCATGATGCCTATATGTAATAAGGAATCTATGAGTAAAAGTTCAGTATGAAGACAGGTTATGAGCCAAACCCATGTCTACCTTTTCCCTAAATAAGATGGGAATCACTAAGAAGCAAAACACTCGTTTGTTAACAGGAGGAAAATAGTTTCCCAGCAATATGAAAAGGATTATTGGATACTAGGACTGGCTTCCAAAAAAAAAAGTTGGTAGAGTAAATCTATCTTGGATCAAGACAAATACAGGTCTATAAAAGGTGGTGAAAGAACACAATATGTTTAACCTCTTGGCTAAAGTATTTGTGGCAAAATTATGGCCTGAAAAAAAAAATCTCATAATAAACCACTTAAATTTTTTCTGGAACTACAGAAGAACCTACTAAGATTGTACCCTCAAATATAATACATAAAATACCAGTTCCAAAGAGGTGACACCTACCATGGCTAACTTCACTGGGCTTCTGGGAAATGTGAATGAGAGAACTATATTAGAAGGTGGTCATTCAATTTTCCCCAAAGTATAAAAACCATCACATTCTATTGGAAACCATCTCCCTGGATATTCCCAGGGAAAGAAGACTAGAAGAAAAGGAACATAGTAAGAGGTCAGTAGATAGGGATGCTACCTCCAAGAAACACAAAAATAAATCTTTACAGTTAAGTTTGTGTCTCAACAGTTTGGGAGTTAAAAGTTTTCTTTCGATAAACTGATTCAAGAAAGATTACACAGTAGACAATAGAGTTGTTATCCCGCAGGAAACAAAGGGCAAAGACTTAGACTAGAGTGAAAGTCTGGACTCAGGAATTTAGAAAGTGGTTTTGTAACCCTAAAAGGTAGTACAAATAAAAAGGTTCAAAACTAACATAGGTAAACCTATGGACAGTTATTAGGCAGGGAGAAAAGGAGTTGGCTAATACTAGTCTGAGACAATTTTGGGTTCCTATCTCCTCATTTTCCTACAAGGAAATGTTCCAGCTGAATGGAACCAGAATGCAGTGTATATAGTTTTATAAAAAATATTGCTCTACTCCTCCCCAAATTACCATCTCATCAGTCTACTGGACATAGTATTGAAACATTATGCCAATTCAGTTCTGATAAGCCTAGTTTTTCCGCAGCCCGCACTCAGCAGCCGTCTTAAACTATATCGTTCAATTATCTATCACTTAAGGAAACTGCTTCAGGAACCACAGATCTGTACTCCCAACTGTGAAAAGCAACCGTTTATGAAACTAAGTCATATACGTTTAATATTGATCCCAGGAAACTGATGGGTATCATGAATGGACTCTAGCTGGCTATCTCACTGAAGTATTCTTGTGATCTCATAAAAAGATACTTTTCACCTTTTTAAAGAACAATTATGTGTTTTACGATACAGAACTCTGAAGTTCAAGCATTAATTTGTGCACCGAACTGGGTACAGATCTGTTTTCTAAGGAAGATTCTATACCTGGATCATTGGTGAATTCTTCAGCCTTTTGTATGCTGAGATGAGCTGTCTTATTCAAATACCTATTTTGGTTAGGCCTCTTGACTTTAACCCTATTCTCAGCTCAACTGATTTTCAAAGCATATGGACCCCCACCTTAATCAGCAACACAGAATATCTGCATTCCAGTGCAGGAATGACCTTAATTCCTTAGTGAACAGAAACTATAAGAGAGCTCTGGACAACAGGTTGATAGTCAACTTCAAGTAATTAACAACAAGGACTATGTATTCACATACCAATGACTTTTTACACTTTAACAAGTTATTGCGTTCTAGAGAAGAATCTCAAAAGAAATGCAATATACGGTGTGATGTGTACAAAGACAGTAACAGTGGGGTAGCATGGCTGGCCTAATTTTCAAGGTATACTAATAATGTGGAAGATCACAAATTTATGCTCAGAGAGGCTTTCTTTCAAGAATCCAGCAGTGGTATCTGGCAGCTCAATTTTGGTGTGTCAGCTGAGTCCTTCTCTTCTAAAACCAGATCAACTCAATTTCAGATTTGTTGTTCTTCATTAATAATGCCTCCATCCTACATCCTGGAAGCCCCCTCTGAGGTACACAGATGTCACTCACTATCTGAACCAAAACCTCTCTTGCCTCTTTGATTACACCTGACAAACACTCTGACCCATGCTGACCCAAGTATGTCCGTCAGCACCACACAGAGGGGCTGTGGAGCTTGACATGAGGCCTACAATTCTGCTTGGTTTCTAGAAACTGAAATGTTAAGTGTTTCAGTGAGTTCTTCCAACTCCAAGCAAGTCTTTGTTCAGTCTCTGATCTTTTTGTTTAGCATTGCAGGTCACATCAGGACGCTACTCTGATCTTGTAATCCTTTCAGAATTAGATGATGGTAAGAAAATAACCAGAGTCTGTATTTCTTGGTAACTGGCATTAGTTATAAGGAGAACATAATCAATGAAGATCTTCTGGAACTAAAGGAGCTAAGCAGAAAAACATAAGCTGAAACTTCAAAAGTTCCAAAACAAAGCTAATGTGCTTCTGCTTAAATGAGTATGATTACCTTTTTTGGTAAGATTTTCCAAATTCAACTATAACACCAAGGTGGGCTATTTTTGATATTGTTTATAACTGTTATTGTGAAATGTATAAAGGAGAAGACAATATACACTACACAGCTGCAATGCTTTAGCTTTGTAAAGGTAAAGGAAGAGTCCCTGTACCCAGCCATCTGTATGACAGAGCGGGTGCTCCATCATCTCAAAGTATAACGAACACTAACTACCCTTCTTTGATTTCGTATGACACTCACTCATGGAGCAAAACCTTCCATTTAAGGGAGAATGCAGGAGAGGAATGATTCGGGCATATAGGATTCAACCAGGAGCCAAAAACACAGTGAGATAAGAACGGTCACTGTAAGGCAATGAACTGAGGAGGTTTTAAACAGGATTATCTGTAAACAAAAAAAATTTATCTGTACCTGGGACAGGAAACTAGAAAAGGATAGTCATGATTCAGTTGAATTACAATCAGGTGCCTTTTTAAAACGGCTAATTTGTATTGAGGGGGATACTTTTAATCTGTTTACTGGGAAAATGAATTCCTATACAAACCCTGTACTATTTTACATTATGTAAGAGGTTAATTTAGTTTGAAAAGCCTCTTTTCTTAGTACTTCTTGGCTAACTTGGGAGATGATCCACCTTTAAACTGTTAAAAGACTTCTACTTTAGTTATAAAAGTATGGCTTTCACAAGCAATAGATAAAAGCCATTAACTATGAAAAATAACTTCTACTATGAAGTATATTTTATTTTAAAGAATTTTTATATTTCCAGTTTTACTATGCAAGTTTTCTTATTCAAAAGCAGGCAATAAGGGACTTCCCTGGTGGTCCAGTGGTTAAAAATCCACCTTCCAATGCAGGGGACGCAGGTTTGATCTCTGGTTGGGGAACTAAGATCCCACATGCCGTGGGGCAACTAAGCCCACACACCACAAATGGAGAGAAGCCCACGTGATGCAATGAAGATCCCGCGCGCCGAAACTAAGACCCGACATAGCCAAAAATAAAAATAAATAAGTAAATAAATATTTTTTAAAAAAAGCAAGCAGTAAGAAATTCTGGAAGTATTCTTAAGTAAAGGCCTTCTGATAAGTCTTTTTGACTACACAAGGCAGCATTAGAGGGCTTAAGAGATGATTATCTTTTCGAAATTTCCCTACGGAAATTTCCCTAAGGAAGGGAAAAATGGGAATATACTAACAATGGGGTGGGATAGAGTGGCAAAGAGAACTGTACTTTCAAAATATACATATTTTAGGGGCTTCCCTGGTGGCGCAGTGGTTGAGGGTCTGCCTGCCAATGCAGGGGACGTGGGTTCGAGCCCTGGTCTGGGAGGATCCCACATGCCGCAGAGCAACTAGGCCCGTGAGCCACAACTACTGAGCCTGTGCGTCTGGAGCCTGTGCTCCACAACAAGAGAGGCTGCGATAGTGAGAGGCCCGCGCACCATGACGAAGGGTGGCCCCCGCTTGCCACAACTAGAGAAAGCCCTCGCACAGAAACGAAGACCCAACACAGCCATAAATAAATAAATTTAAAAAGAATAACAAGCCAAGCCAAGCTGTAGGATGTTATTAAAAAAAAAATACATATTTAAAAAATTCCATCACTCTAAGACAATTTCTTCTCAAGTTTAACAAAAAGACTTAAAAGTGGTTTAAAAACACTGTGGAAAAGACAATTGGGGAATTTTTCTATTATTAGTGAGGTTGGGTCTGAAATAGAATGACTACTATCTTGGCAACTTTGACATTTTAAAAAATGTTTGATTTAGTTGTATCTGTCAACATTCTTGCTTGACTAATCTTAATTTTTGATGAATTTAAGAACTTATTATGCAAAGGTAAAGGGGACTGTGACACTCAAGGAATGTTTTTTCTTTTTGAAAAGGTTCTTTGTAAAGGCACAGAGCGAAGAGACAGCTTAGTATTTAGTCCTAAAAGGCAAGACGATGTGCAAGAATGAGAAGCCAGAAATGTAAACTGAAGGAAATGGCCAATTAATTCAAGTAGGATCTTGTTTAGTTTTAGTGGACCTTCAGTATTCAGAAAGAATTCCCATGGGAAACCTGTCCTTTTATATTTAAGAATCCCTGAAACAGTAGTTATCAAGTGACCAGCTATATCAGAATTATTGGGGATATCTTAAAAAGTGAAACAAAACCAGCATTCTGGTACAGTAATAAAGTTGATCAGATTCCTTAAAGGAGGGAGTAATCAACAAGGCTTTGGTGAAAGAGTTCCCAAGAAGAGTGGAAGGAGTCCTTCCAGGCAAATAGCACACATGGGAACAACAGAGGATAAGGAATAGAGTGCCTATCATAAATAACGCTCCGTGGAACATTTCATGCATCAAACAATTTTGTATTAAAGATGATTTTCCAAGGATGGATTCTCAGAAGTTTAGTAACTGAGACAAAAGGTTCAGTCTTGAACTTCAAGCTTGTTAAATATCGCTGAACTGCTAAATACTGCTGAACTGCTGTTTCCTTAAAGGATTACACTAACTTGCTATACCACCAGCAAATATGAAAACAGTTTTTTGTCTTTTGTTTTGTTTTGTTTTTTGCCATGGGGCATGCAGAGATCTTAGTTCCCTGACCAGAGGTCGAACCCGAGTCCCCTGCAGTAGAAGCACGGAACCTTAACCACTGGACCACGGGGGATGTCCCCTGAAAACACTGTTTTAGTCTACCCTTTATTCTCCTCCTCCAACACTGCATTCATTTTATAAAACTCTGCCAATTCAATAAGTTTCAGAATATTAAATCTGTCATTATTTTACTGTGTTGAACTTTTTTGCCCACGTTTGTAATTAATTTATTCTTAAGCAACTATTATAAATGGTCTTTATTTTTAATCAAGCTACATCTTTCACAATTTTATTTTTTTAACTTTATATCGACTGTGATTTGAGGTTTTTCCGTGCTTTTTTTCTTTTAATTTATTTATTTTATTTATTTAGTTTTGGCTGCGTTGGGTCTTTGTTGCTGCACGCGGGCTTTCTCTAGTTGCAGCGAGCAGGGACTACTCTTCGTTGCGGTGCGCGGGCTTCTCACTGTGGTGGCTTCTCTTGTTCCAGAACACGGGGTCTAGCCGTGCGGGCTTCAGTAGTTTTGGCACACAGGCTCTAGAGCACAGGCTCAGTAGTTGTGGTGCACGGGCTTAGCTGCTCCACGGCATGTGGGATCTTCCAGACCAGGGCTTGAACCCATGTCCCCTGCAATGGCAGGCGGATTCTTAACCACTGTACCACCAGGGAAGCCCTCCATGCTTTTATATGAGATTTAAATTTTCATATATCTAAATGTTTAATTTGTGATTCCTTTTAAGTTCAGAAATTCTTTCTTCCTTCCTCCAGAGTTGATACCTAACTTTTTAAAACATACTTTTTCTATTGTTGTATTTTTTAAATGCTTATTAATTCAATCCAAAGAAATATTTTCTATATGAGGTTAAAAGGATTACTTACTACTAAATAATTTTTCCCCTTCTCATTTATTTGTGACACACTATTTATCACATATTCAAATCTAACATACAGAAAGGCCTAGAAAAGAGTAATTCTAATTAATTAATTTATTCGTTTATTTTTGGCTGCATTGGGTCTTTGTTGCTGCGCATAGGCTTCCTCTACTTGTGGCGAGCAAGGGCTACTCTTTGAGGCGGTGCGCGGGCTTCTCACTGAGGTGGCTTCTCTTGTTGCGGACCATGGGCTCTAGGCACGCTGGCTTCAGTAGTTGTGGCATGTGGGCTCAGTAGTTGTGGCTCGCGGGCTCTAGAGCGCAGGCTCAGTAGTTGTGGCATATGGGCTTCACTGCTCTGCGGCATGTGGGATCTTCCCGGACCAGGGCCTGAACCCATGTCTCCTGCGTTGGCAAGTGGATTCTTAACCACTGCGCCACCAGGGAAGCCCGAAAAGAGTAATTCTATTTCAATGTCTATTCTTGCATTATTATCTTTTGGTGTTTGGTAGACATATCCTCCTTCATTATCCTTTAATTCAAAATTCAAACTGCTCTTCTCATCTTTCTTCCAAACCTTAAAAGCACCCACTCTATCATTCTACTGAATTACATTGAACCAATAATTTGTAAAGAATATACATTTTTATAATACTTTAAAAATAATTTTTATAAATAATTTTATGGTTTCTCATGAATGTAAACCTTCTGTTCCTAATTTCAAATACCTCTTTGAGGAAGCAGTAGTCAGCTTAGAAAAGATGCTAGCAGCCTTCAATTATTAAGCTACCATTACCCAACAGAAACAATAGAAATTAAATTATTAAACATAATGTATTCATAAAGCTACAATCAGTAGAACCTCAAATGTTTTCAGGAATAACTATCAGAATAGGAAGAGCTTTCTTTAAGTTAACGGGCCATCTCTAACAATGTGATCCTCCACCCTAACAACAGTACCATAACTAAATGAGTACACAAGGCGTCATAACTTCTATATCAAGTAACAGGTTTCCCAATAGGCTAGTTCTGATTTGACTTAATATTATTAAGGACTTCTGTTCTGCAATACAATGGTAGAGCAGAATGTTAAAGCGATTTTAGATTTTACTTGTATGATGGCCATGATTTTACGTGCCCCATTAAAAATCTAGTCTAACTTATCCATAAAATATCTTAAACTATTTTAAAGATTCATCTCCATATTACAAAAGTACAACATCAGTTATATAATCTCTCTTTTTCCCAAGCAAGCATATATATAATCTTTCAAATCAAAATACTGAGAAGTTATCATTCTAAGATAAAACTGCTTACCATGATACCACCATTTTGTTTTCTTTGGATTCTTGTTACATGTTCGAACATAAAAAGAATTATCTGGTGGTCGTCTCTGAAACCAAAAAGAATTTAAATAGGTAAGAAGTTGTAAAACAGGAAAACATGAGGGGGAGATAGTTTTAATAAAAGCTCTAGCAAAAATATTACAGAATGCATAAGAAACAAAATAAATGCAGATGTCATAACTGAAAAAATAATATATTCCAGGCAATGTAACCTCTTGACACTGAACTTGTTAAAAAAAAAAAAAAAGGTGTGCATATGTGGTTTGGGTTAGGTTCCAATGGGATTACTAGACAATGACTATCAACCTAAAGTGGCAGCATTATGTTGTAAAGAATTTTGGTTTCATTTATCTTATCTCCCTAGAAATAATTTAATAATTACTTTTGTGAGCTAATCAAAACTCTACCTAACTAGGTTTGTCTGAGAAACCCTAGCAACTTATAATCCTCCACAAGGGATTATTGTTTTCCTGTAAACAAGTATCATCAAGGAGAGACCAAAGGATTCGGTTTCCAAAATGTATGTAAGAGGCAAAGGGGGGAAAAGACACATTAGCATTTCTGCAATACATACGCCCTGACTAGAACAATATTAGAAGCATACGGCAGCTCTGCAAGGAGTTACATCAGAAATAGCTGTAACTACAACTAACAACACTGAAGACAGGTTATGAAAGAATTTTCTTGAAAACTGTTGGATGTTGATCAGACACAAGAAATATGTGCCTCTCTACAAAGATTTGGAAACATGTCAAATTTGTATTAACGCCACTGGGGGCAGGTTAGTAGATAATATGATAGGTCCAACCAAATAGCAATGGTGAACAGGACTACCTAGGTAGCAGGAAGGAAAACTGACAGTCCACTTGGCACTTCCTAAAATTCATGTACATAACTATGATCTAACTCTTATGAGATAATAATAACAGTCATTTAACAGAAAGGAAGAGAAGAACATAAGACACTAAACAACTATACCAAGATTACCCTGTTTATACAGTTAGAGAAAATTCCTGAAAAATTATCATGAAATTATATGTCTACTTTAAAGAATAGATGATCTGCTATTGTTTGTCCTGTAAAGTCATAACCTGTGTTCATGTGGAATAAACTGCTACTACTGTAACAAACAATAAACTCATCTATTTATCAGAACCCAATCTTCAAAAAACAAGTTTCTTTTTGTGAAAAAAGAAACTGGAACGAAAGAGTTATGACTAAAAAATGCCTACAGTTAAATTAAAATTTGTATTCAGGGAGTTGACTACTCTCTGAATACAACGGAAAGTGAAACTCACGGAACCATGTCCACCACAGAATAAAATTCACCTGTTTTAATAGAACAGCTTTCGGCGAATATTTAAAAGACTTTTTAAAGCCTATTTGGTGCTAGATTCCCCTCAGTGCCAAAACACGTTTCCTCTTCTTCTTAGTAATCTAGTACTTAGCACAGTAACAACAGCACATAGCAGGTACTTAATAATGTCTGAATTTTATCATTTTCCACAAAACTAATGCTGCCAGAATTCTGACTTCTAGATTATCGTTTTGGTTGAATAAATTATAATTACATTTATATTATATAATATAGTTTATCAATAATTTAAATGGAATGATTAGTCTTATACCAACTACGCAAGAAACACTAACAGCAGACAACTAGAATGTGAGGGGAAAGATGAGGGTTAGAAAAGGATGAAGGAGTTAGAGAACGTAATAATTTTCTAGCTTTTAACAGGAAATCATTACCTTTAAATGTAAACAAAGCTAGTAATCAAAAGGCACATGTAAGGGCTATGCGCAGACACCACTCGTGTTAATCTTAACTTCTCTTATTAAACCCTAGAGTTACTGCCTCATCTTTCTATAGACATTAAGAGAAGCCCCTTGATTGGAAACTGCTCTGTGCCACACCTGCAGGTTCAGAGCCTGTATGTGCGGTGGAGGTGGAGATAGGGAGAGGAGAAAACATGGAAGCAATAAATGAATGAAACTTGTTTCCAAGCCTTTGGGATTAACAAAAGCACAAGTGTGGCCTAAAATGCAGCTCAGAAAAGCTAACAACAGGGAGGAAACTCAAGTTAACAGGTGATACTAACGTTAGATAACATGTACTCTATTTCATCTATTCTAAGATGTACATTTTTTTCTTAATATTCCTAAATGGGGATACATGTCTTTCAACTAATGGTGTATCACAGTTTAACTGCCAGAAGTTTCATTCTTCCTCTTGTACATAACATTGCATATTAAGGGCTCTTATGCTACAGTTAAAAAATACATATACAATTTAACCCATTATTTCCCATTCTTATTTGAACAAAAAAATTTTCTTTTAAACCTAACACCAAGAAACCTCTTATGGAACTAACACTCCAAGAAACTTACTTTGCAAACAAGTGGCTTAGAGTGTTTCAAAATCTAGATAACCTACCATTTAAAAATGAAATACTATCTAAATGTTTTCTAAATATTAATTTAATAAAAATGACAGCTGAATTTGGAGAAGAAAAAAAACCTGCTAAAATAAATGAATAACCCCACAGCTCCCTAATCTCTAAGGTAAATTCGGTTTTTCCTTTAAAGAGAATACAAAAGGAAACCCCCATGGAGAAGAGATGCTTTAAAACCTCTCAAGCAGGAATGACAAGACACTAACCCTCAAGCAGGAATGACAAGAGGGCCAGAAACACAGAGAGGATTTAGATACTTTAAAAGGGTATTCTAAATTTAACTCACATGGTTTTTCTTTCTGGTCTTTTCCTCCCTTTCTCCATCAGACACAGAATCTGTAGATTAGTAAAGGAGAATAAGAGGAAAAGTCCTGAAAATTCTACTGGTAATCTAGTCCTCCTTCAACCTAGGCTTTATGATAGGAGAGCTCTGGTTCCTGGGAAATCCCCTAAAAGAGACTGATAGGGTGGAAGCCAGCAGAGGGGAGAAGGGAGCCATAATGCTTATTCCTGGGTCCTTCCACTGTGAAATCTAGAAACAATAATTTCTTGTACACTTTTGCCCTGTGCATGCTTACAGAAACAAAATTCAGATTATTTAAGAACATCTGCAGAAACTTCCTGTTTAAGAAATATGAAACAATGTCTGACTTCTATTATCAAATTATTTGCCAATCTATTACTAAAACGTTCCCTATAACTTCATAATAGAAAGCATTAAGTCTCTTCTTCAAATAAATTATATATTAAAATAGCTTCTCTACCCAAACTAAAAGAAGAACTATACCTGGAATAATTCTGAAAAGTCCTACCTTTTCTTTGCAGCTGGAAAGCATGCTAATAATGCTAAGACAAACTGATTGGACTGAGAGCGCTGGGGACCAGTCTTCTGTTAGAATGGATAAACAGATATGACCATTGCTATAAACATGAGGATGAACAGGAATATTTTCACCAGTAAACATGACCTAAGAAAGAACAAAATTCCATTAATACTCAAATATTCTATGTTACCGAAAAATAAAATATTCTCCAGGTAAGTTAATATTTTAAAAACCAAATTAAAAACAAATAAAATCAATGCCAGGAACAAGATAAACAACTGCTTTATTCTTATCAATTCAATAAGTACTGGTTTCACTACTATGAATGACCATGTAGTAGGAAAAGAATCCAGATTACCTATTTTATATTTCAGATATTTTTCACAAATTCCTTTTAAAATTTTCTAAATTACCATGTATTTTTAGACTAGTGAAAGACAACTATATTTACAAGAATGGTTTTTCAAACTACTCATTGTTCTCTGCATACACAAATCAAATACACTAAAATTTCAAACGAAAGTATTCAACTTTAGGACAATATGAATTACATGCTATAGGAACACCACTTCCACCTATAACAATGTTATTACCCAAGGTGTTATATGCAAAAGGAAATGACTGCTACATCTTCCACCTCCTCTAAATTCACACTTGCATTATGATGGGCACAAACTGCCACTTACTAATCAGCAAATATCTATGTGCTTATAGATGAAAAAACAAAGCTTGAATGAATCTCCCAATTACTTGCTGTTTTGTCTCTGCCTTTTCTTTTACTCAGTTCTTCTACGTTTTCCCCTTTCTCCATGTTGCCTCAGCACTGATTTGAAAGGTAATATTTCCTTCCTTTGCCCTAATAATTCAATGTCTCAATAATACTGTTTCTTAAACATATCTACCTAAGCATCTGAATAGGCAGGAGAGTAAATTCATACATCCTGAGGAATCTGTAAGCATAGCCCATAATAGGTCAAAGTAAAAGTCTCATATTTAAGAATGCTTAGATATATGTTAGTTCATAATAAATTATTTATTTTGATATAAAAATTAATCTGTCAATCTTTTAAGTGAATTTTATACTGCAGTATAATATATAATTTTTATTGTTGCTTAGGAATAATTCCTATTTCCTGATCTGGCCCTTAAAAAAAAAAGAAAATCACCTGGAGAGCTGGTTAAAAATACAAATTCAAGAGCCCCACTTTCCCAGATTCTGATTCACTAGGTATGATGGCATTTTTATAAAACTCATCAAATATAAACCAATAGTTCCCAAACTAGGCTTACAGTAAGTATATCTCAGCCCTGCAAATTACCTCATACTCAGACATAGCGGAATCTTAGTAAGGAGAAACCCTACCTTAAGTGATGACAAACTGATGAAATATATTGCTCTAGGACTAAGCCCTCTTTTTTCCTTTATAGAGCAGAAGACAGCCAGTGAAATAAGGGTGGCCAGAATAAGGTATGCCATATTTTAATATGTGATATGCTATGGGAAATTACCATAAGCTAGGTTTTGCTTTTATTTTTAAATTTCTACCTACATATCTGGTTTTATTACAATTTTACAAATATTTACATTTAACAAAGCACTCTTTCATAGAAGTAGGAGTTCTCAAATATACTGCTAACATATGGGCCTCATTTCCTTGGCTGAAGCTAATATAAGACAGGAAGAGGAATTTTTTTCTCAAAGGAATGACTTCATATATTTGTGTTTCTTTCTTTCTTTTTTTTTTCTTTAAATTTTGGTGATCCACCCTCCATTCCCATGAAAAAAGAGCTAAAGTAAAGCTGAAAATTAAAAGTAAAGTCTTAAAACAAGAGTTATCAAGTGATTTGTCCTGCCCAATTGTAGAAGACCCCCTGAAAGACTTGGGCACAGCTCTGTTTGAAGTACCATTTATCTCAATTATATCCATCAGAATTAGTGCCTTTTTCATCACTTTTTGCTCAAAAAGTGCTGCTCTGCAAAGGGAAATGACTGCTTAAAGCTCTTGCACCTCCATGAGTCCATCCACAATTATTTTAAAATTAATTTTTTAATAAATGTGAACTACAGTTTATTATATTATATGCATTTGATATTCCCACAATGTGTTGTGGATGTCTAGAGTGGGAGTTTACAATCTCACAGAATATGCATCTGCTTTGGGGTGTTCTTTTTTTTTTTTTTTGCGGTACGTGGGCCTCTCACTGTTGTGGCCTCTCCCGTTGCGGAGCACAGGCTCCAGAAGCACAGGCTCAGCGGCCATGGCTCACGGGCCCAGCCGCTCCTTGGCACGTGGGATCCTCCCGGACCGGGGCATGAACCCGTGTCCCCTGCATCGGCAGGCGGACTCTCAACCACTGAGCCACCAGGGAAGCCCTGGGGTGTTCATTTTGCCACAAAATGCCATTTGACTACTAGGATATTTTCATGAAGAACACAGCAGTGCCCATTACTCCCTGGTCACAATTATTTTTAAAGGCTATTTCTTTTCCAGTAAGGTCTTTTTGAAAACAAGTCATGTAGAACAGTGCTCTGGTACCAAAAAAGTAAGAACTGCCAAGTTATTTCCTTTGGCACAAATGAAGCAATGTATCAACAACCATCAAGGAAAATACACAGACAGCCAACCAAAAGGTTATCACGAGATGCTTTGACTAGCCAATTCACAAAGCAGAAGGAAAGCAGTATTCTTTTTGGAGAGAAATGATTATAAACTAAATCACTCGGTCTGAGAGCCAAGAAGTATGCATGAATCAAAAGTAAAGGAGGAGAGAAGAGAAAGAAAGGGGATGGGGAGCAGTGGAAGACACCTACGGCACAAGCAGCAGACATTCTATAAGCAGAGAAGAGAGCCAGAAATCAAGGAGAAAGAAACAGTTTTGAAGTTTGAGGGGACTGAAATAAAAATAAATTAGACCTTACTAATACTTAAAATAAATTAGATCTTAAGAATGCTTAAAAAAAAAAAAAAAAGCAGGGGCTTTTAAACCTGCTGCATTCAGGGCAAATGCAACCAGCCTAAAACTTCTAGCAACCAAAAACAGGGGAACTAACTTGTTGTACATGGTACAGGTAACCCCTAGAACCCAACCTGGCAGATAGAGAATTTTAGAAGTTTGTCTAAACATGGACAGGCTCCATCCAGGATTTCCTGAATTCCATTCAGGAATTCAGATGAATTCCTGAAATATAAGAAAAAACTTTTTTCAAGTTTATTCACGTAAAAGACTGGTAAGTAGTCTGCACAGACAGTTTTGATGCAAACTTTGCTATTCTGGTTCTCTGCATGTGACAGAAGAGTAACCAACGCTGAATTTCTTCAAGACTACACTCTTTTTTAAAAAAAAATAAATTTATTTATTTCTTTTTGGCTGTGTTGGGTCTTTGTTGCCGCACGCAGGCTTTCTCTAGTTGCAGCAAGCCAGGGCTATTCTTTGTTGTGGTGTGTGGGCTTCTCATTGAGGTGGCTTCTCTTGTTGCGGAGCACAGGCTTCAGTAGTTGTGGCACGCGGGCTCAGTAGCTGTGTCTCGTGGGCTCTAGAACGCAGGCTCAGTAGTTGTGGCACACGGGCTTAGTTGCTCCAAGGCATGTGGGGTCTTCCTAGACCAGGGCTCGAACCCGTGTCCCCTGCATCGGCAGGCAGATTCTTAACCACTGCGCCCAGGGGAGTCCCAAGACCACACTCTTAACTATCCTTGTTTATTTAATATGCAGTACAAGCCAGAGGAGGGAATGCACATTTCAGGTTTTTTAATACAGCCAAGTAGGCTCTGAAAACTTAAAAGACTTTAAGCTGTTTCCAGAGTTCAAAAACCTTTCTGGGGGGGAATCGCAAATAGCTGATAAACTATCTAAAACAGATATGACAATATAACTGAATACGATGAATTTGAAACCAAAGGGAATAATTTTGCTAATTAATTTTTTAAACAATTTATTCAGATTCAAAGTAGTCACATAGATTGAACAGCGACCGGAGACTGCACACGTTCCCCACTGCATAAACCATACTGAGTAAAATGGAATTACAGGTTTTTAATAACAAGCTATTAAATGGAAAAAAAGTCACAATTTTAGAAAGGATGTTAAATCTAATGCCTGTGAACCACATCTGAAGTTCTGAGTCTGCATTAGAAGAAGTCCTCATGTGTCTGTAAATTTCCAAATATCCCCCACCAGTGTGGCTCAAATTCAGGAGCAGGTGAGATGGAGAAAGAACTCTGCTCAGGATCCCTATGATTTTGGAGGTAAGTTCGCACATCCCACATCCAACCTAAAATTTTAAGCAAGCCAACCTCTGGGTAACCTTTGGGTACTAAAAAGTCTAAACTGAAAGCCACCAACAGTAACAATATAAAGGATGGATATTAGGTAACTGTTTCTAATGTGAAACTCATGGTAATCATACCTGAGGGCTTCCAAAGCCTTCAGGCTCAATACTGTATGACCTCACAGTATTGAGATCTTACCACAATGAAGGCATACTAATGTGTTCAGACTAGTGCTCTGGAAGTGATGAGAAAGTCAGACACCTAATACGGTATATCAAGCTAGGTGAAAATACAATATACACAGAATGAGCAATACAAAACAGGCTATAATTATAGAGCCAATCTACAATATAGATACAAAGGTTTCTACAGGGACAATATGAGGGGATGTTTTCTCTGATTAAAATTGTCAGTAGATGACAATATTTAAAGGGCAACTATAAAAACTGAACATACAAGCAGAGAGTTTAATAAACTAAATCAAATACCTAACTATGAATAATATATATGACATAGGTAGTCTAGCATAAATGAATGATAAATATTTGACAAAAGTGACTGGGGATAAGAATTTTAGCATAGTTTTCAATTCAGTTCTCCCCTTTTAGTCATCTAATATGTATCAGCAGCATGAATATTGATAGCTTTCCCAAATCAGGGAGAATCAGACCACGAGCAAAAGGATGAGGACACTATGAATATAAGTTCTGGATCTCTGCAATGAGGGAATTTGAAGCAACACAACAAAAGGGTTCGTGTTAAAGGGGCATGAATAGGAGGGGGAATGGGAGTGAGGGGAAAGTGATTACTCTTTTGCCCCAGTGTTTCTAAAGCTTTATGATCAAGGCAAGTATATTTTTAGCATCTTTAAAATAAGTCCAAAATATTGCCACCTTCCACAACCTCCACTGCTACCCTTCTGGTACAAATCACCATCACCCCTCACCCGGATCACTGCAGTAGGGGTACCCTTGTGCCTCCAGAAGTCAATGTGCCACATAACAGCCAAGTTTCTCCCTTGAATTTTAAGCAGGAGCATGTCGTTCCTCTGCTCAGCATCTTCAAGGGCTTCCTACCTCATTGAGAGTAAAAGTCAGAATTCTTACGATGGGCTATAAATGTCCTATCCAATTTCTGATGGACCTTCCAGCCCCAATTCTCTCTCTGACCTAGGCCCTACTCTCCTCTTCTTGATTATACAACACTCCAGGGACCCACCTGGCATGCTCCAGATTCAGGACCATTGCATTTTGTCTTCACCTGCCCTTTCTCTCACCCCTTTGATGTGGCTTATGCACTCACCTCTTTCAGATCTCTGCCCCAATGTCACCTTCTCATGAAATCTTTCCTGATCACTCTACCCAATGCTGCAACACCCTGACTCCTCTTTTCTACGTTTTTTCACCATCTTCCATACTTTATATATTTTGCTTTTTGTTTACTGTCCTTCTCTTTCTACAAGAATGCAAACTCCACATAAGGAGGGTTTTTGGAGGGCCACTTTGTTCACCACAGAATTGCCAGCACCTAGGAAAGCGTTTGTCTTATGATACATGCTCAGTAAATACTTACAGAATGAATGAATAAATGTCTCTCTCTCCAAATACTAAACAGATTATCGGCTTTTTAAAGTCAGGCCCAATTCCTTTTTAATTTCTGTGCTCTCTGCCATCTCTAAAGTACACAGTTCATGCTCAATACATGTTAAATTAACCAACCATTTACCTGTATCCTAGCATAAGGAAACAGAATACACTATATAGAAAGAATTTTATTTTCTGTATGGCTGTTGGTAAGTGCACATTACTAGAAAACAGTGATGAAAAGGTACTTCATCTCTGCTCCCATTTTAACTGAGAAAGTTTTTTGTTCCTGCTATTGTTTCTTTTAAAGCAAATGATTGGGCCAAACACCGTGTTTTACATAGGTAGCCTTTTCACTGTGAAGTGAGATACATGTGAAATTAATTATAACTAGTAGAAGAAAATAACACAGCCTATAAATTTTATGCATAGTCTTACAGATCTCATTTATAGGCAAAGATCTCACTGACACAAAAGTAATAATTTCACAATGAGATGTTTATTCTACGGATATGTCCTCAAATTCTACTCTTGTAAGTAGTGGTAAATTTAGTACTGCTTATTGCATAGGAAAATGAAAGACTAATTACCTAACAAGAGCCAATGCTTCCACATCTGAACAAATAAAATCTTTGGGGAATGGGGAATTTTACTGCCCTTATCCAGAGCAATACGATGGACCTTTGGAAAGTTTTAGTTATCAGAAAAATCTTGAAATCTATATGTACATCAAGCTTTGATTACTGGACATGTTATAATTATTTTATAATCATACAGATGATGTGATTAATAGAATTTTAAAATAATTTAAAAGTATTACTGGACTCAGAGTGGTCTATTATTTTCTCAATCATGGATATTAGAATATTTTATATATATATAAATATAAATTAACTGATGTTAAAAGGGAATCCTCTTATTCCAAAAGATTGGGAACAACCGCCCTAGGGTTTCCACATCATTCTACGTGTAATCTTTCACTTTCAGAGATAACATTACTTAATGGTTACATTAATAAAGTATGACACAAGTATTACTACACAGTAGAAGGCATGGAGGTAATGTGTGGCTAAAATGCTTCAGGTCAGACTCAACCATAAAGGGACTGGACTGCTAAGCTTGATTTGACTCCACAGGAAATAAGAACCATCACAGGATTTACCAAGAAAGGTGGGGATGGTGGTGGTGGATGTATGTGCGAAAACCAATGAGGTAACTGCACCTTCAAATAAACCTAACAGCACTGTGAAAGGACGGCTAGGAGTGGAAACAACTAGAGGCTATTTTGTAATAGTCCAGATAAAAGCTGAACACTTGGACCACACGGCGCTGACGATAAGGTAAGAAAAATGGTGGACTGCCTTAAGTCTGTGAAAGGATATGAAAAACTGCATTTAAGAGTGAGGGAAAGGAAATAAATTTAACATGAGAAGATAGGTGGACAGAAACCCAAGAAAAAATTCTTTTTTTATTTTATTTTGTTATTAGAAAAAACTGAGTTTAGCTGTGTTAAATTTGGACATCTGGAGGTGTTCAAGTAGAGATGTCCAACAAGGGTGTGAAATTAAACCTCAGAAAGAGATTGTACACAGAGTTGGAGATCTGGGAGTTAGTGGCTTAAGATGGTTAAAGACTTTAAAAAGTGAGAAGAAAAAGGGAGCGCTGAATAAAGAACCTGGAGGACGGGACTTCCCTGGTGGTCCGGTGGTTAAGAATCCGCCTTCCAACGCAGGGGACATGGGTTCGATCCCTGGTTGGGAACTAAGATCCCACATGCTGTGGGGCAACTAAGCCCACATGCTGCAGCTACCGAGTCCACTCTCGTCACAACTAGAGAGAAGGCCACATGCTGCAACGAAGAGCCCACATGCCACAACTAAGACCCGACATAGCCAAAGATAAATAATTAATTTTTAAAATAATAATAATAATAATGTCAAAAAAAAAAAAGAACCTGGAGAACACCAAAATCAGACCAGCAAGCAGGAGTAAAACCAGGGAAGGAGGATAAAAGGAATATGAGATAAGATGATAGAATTTATTACAATGGTTCTTACGGAAATATTAAAGATGGAATTCAACTGATGGTTAAGTTTGATATTTGATTTAGAATTAAAAACTGAGAGTTTAGAGAACACTTTTCACTTGGTTTCATGTTTACAGAAATATTATTTCCCTCTGATGAAAAATTTGTGAGTTCCCAGAGTAAGACTTCTCCAATAGTCCCCTAGGCAAAGTTTCTGAGCTGGTGAGTGTATTCTTCCCTCACATACCTTCAACGAACTTAGGTTGAAGGTGACAAGTGGATACCTCACTGCTTTCAAGCAATAACAGTAAGATGATGCTGATAAGCTGAAAGCCAACAACAGAAAATGAAGATCATTTTCTGGAAAGAAGGAATACATCTGCTTTGGTTTTTGATTACAGTCTACACATGGTTATTATAGAAGTCTAGAGGTCATGACAATACATACGTCTTTGCCTTATTTTTATGATAAAGATAAAAAGGAGCCCCCAACCTCTTAATTTTCTGCTCACATGGAAACTTTAGAACTCAAGGAGTCCGTTTCCATTTAATTCTATGCCTTGAAACAATCATCTCTTTATTTATAGCACAATACAATAACTGACTTCCATCTATACTCTTACATGGCTAAGAGAATTGATTAAGCTGTTTGGTATATTCTATTTAAAGTAGCAATGAAATATGATTTTCCTCAAAAATAGCGTATTTTAGCACCTCACATGTTGAATTTCAAGTTATTTGGGAAATTTCACTATCCACAACACCTCATTACCTAGCAATGCTACACAGAGTTGGGCACCTGTCTTATCATTTTGCTACTGGTAATTCATTACCCATCTTACCAAGCCAGAAATCTGGAATTCATCCTAGAGTCTCCTTTTCTCTAACTTCCAAGGATTAATGATTCACCACAGTTAAGCAGCTCTTAAAATTTTTTCTCTACCCCCATTATCCCTTGTCCAAGTTTTAAGACATTAACTGAATTGACTCTGCCTCAAATTATAATCATCAGATTTGGGGCTGAGGTCTAGATATTTAACATCTTGTAATAATATATTCTGCCCGTGCAATACTAAAAGGCTGCAAAGACAGCATGCCAATGCGAAATCAAAGACGTGCTCCTTCCCAAAAAGCACCTGCCTCTTAACGATGTCATTCTATCATCATCTTATCCAGGAAGACGTGCCTCCAGTTATTCCAAATGCTAAGTTCTCCCACAACCCATGGGCCTGTGTTAGATTTCCATCCCTTTTTTCTGCTTAACATGAATGGATAAGAAACAGTCTTAAGTTTCCAGAAGCACAAAAGCAGCAAAGCCCTAATCTTAATAAGGTAAAATGTTCATATGATCTTGATTATATTATAAATAAGATAAAGGAACAAATCTATTCACATAATTATAATGAATTTCTTTTATAAGTTTTTACTTAGTCAAAAATCGCTAATTTAGCTATAATCCAAAAATACAATAAAAATTTAAAAAGCAAAACATTTTGTTACCTGAGGAGAGTCAAAAGGATATCGACTACTAAACTTAAATAGAAGTTGAAATTTTTCCCCTTCATATAAGGTACCTGGTGCACCTTCCATATCTACAATCCACCTAGAATAGAAAAAAAAAAAATTAAACTTCAGTTATAAAGGATTGGGGTGAGAAGGAGAAAAGAGAACACCGAGTATTCCTCTATGCCAGGCACTGGGACGAGAGTCATTCGTGTATAACAACACACTTTGTCCTCCCAACAATTCCAGGAGTAGGTATTTATACCCCTGGCCCTGTTTCCTTCTCTGACACTCCAGTTAAAGAGCCAGATCACGGTGAGACAGCTAACAAAGGACAGAGCCAAATTTTAACCCAGGTCCGGAAAAAACAACAAAATAAAACCCAGCTTAGGTGTGCTGACACCAAAGCCCGCACTCTTCCTACTCAATTTATGCTACCTTATTTTTTCAGACTATCTTTACAATTATGGAAAAGATTTTATAGATAACATCAAACTAATCAATTGCCTTTCTGATATCAATTATTTTAGAAGCTAAGAGAGAAATCAGTATCAGCAATGACTACAGGAGTGTAGCTATCAGACCAATTTTCTCATCGGCATTCTAGAGAAGGCTAAACAGGAAAAAGGAAGCTAACTTGACGTCGGTACACTTACTCTGATAGCTAGTTAAGGTTCTAGAAGGCCCTTCCTTTGTCTCTCATTATGTTTCAATTGTTTAATAAAACCCCAAATAGATTTCTATGGCATCTATGTAAGCTTACTTTGTTTTCATATATAACAATCATGAATATAAATCTGTTTATAATTATATTCTTATAACAAGAACTATCTTTTGTTCTTTAAAAAAAAAAAGTGCGGGTAGAGGAATAGAGATTATTATGACAAAGATGACGGGGCAGAATTTAGAAGCAAAATGAGTTCCTAATTATATCCATGCCACTTATAATTATTGTATACCTGGTCAATTCCTGTAATCTTATACTTTTCAGGCATAAAAACTTATTATTTTAAATACAGGTAAACAAAAGGAAGATTGAGGATATACTGTTGGGGTTCTGTTGAGCACCTCACATATTATGGACTTAGAAATATGTAAAATAATAAATGTGCCTACTCTCTGAAAGCAATCACGCTGGAACACATATAAACCCTTAAGAACATGGCCATTCATTTTCACAATGCACGCTAAATACCTTATATGGTAATAAAAGATGCAACCACAGACCCAAGAGGCAATATTTTACAGTAAAATTAGACAGATCTGTCCCTTAATTAGCTGTGGGGCCCTAAGTAAGCTGTTTTACCTCTCCTGTTTTAACTACTGCAATTGTAAAATAGGTATTTTTAAAAATTAACTGCTAGAGTTAAAAAAAAAGTCACCTCGAAGTGTTGTTGGAAAGATACATCACGTTACATATGCAAAAAACCTAGTACATTCCTGACATCAGAACCAGTACACAGTAAATAAAATATAATGCAAAAGCTGCATTAAAAAAACAAAAACAAAAAACCTATTCTCTTTAAAACTAGGTCCTTCCTCCTAATCAAACGTATAAGCTTTTGCACAGCACAGGAAACCATCAACAAAATGAAAAGACAACCTACAAACTGGGAGAAAATATTTGCAAACAATGCGATGGACGAGGGCTTAATTTCCAAAATATACAAACAGCTTATACAACTAAATATCAAAAAAACAAACAACCCAATCAAAAAATAAGCAGAAGACCTAAACAGACATTTCTCCAAAGAAGATATACAGATGGCCAACAGGCACATGAAAAGATGCTCCAAATCGCCAATTATCAGAGAAATACAAATCAAAATTACAATGAGGTATCACCTCACACAAGTCAGAATGGCCATCATCAAAAAGCCTACAAATAATAAATGCTGGAGAGGGTGTGGAGAAAAGGGAACTCTGCTACACTGTTGGTGGGAATGTAAATTGGTGCAGCCGCTAAGGAAAACAGTATGGAGGTTCCTTAAAAAACTAAAAATAGAATTACCATATGATCCAGAAATCTCACTCCTGGGCATATACCCAGACAAAACTATAATTCAAACTATAGTTCATATTTATGAACTATATATGTTCATAGCACTGTTCACAACAGCCAAACATGGAAACAACTTAAATGTCCATTGACAGATAAATGGATAAAGATGTGGTACATATACACAATGGAATACTACTGAGCCATAAAAAACAACGAAATAAGGCCATTTGCAGCAACATGGATGCAACTAGAGATTATCATACTAAGTAAGTCAGAAAGAGAAAGACAAATACCATATGGTATCACTTACATGTGGAATGTAAACTATGGCACAAATGAACCTATCTACAAAACAGAAACAGACTCATAGAGAACAGACTTGTGGTTGCCAAGGGGGAAGGGGGAGAGAGAGGGATGGACTGGGAGTTTGGGGTTGGTAGATGCAAACTATTACATTTAGAATGGATAAACAACAAGGTCCTAATGTATAGCACAGGGAACTACATTCAATATCTTGTGATAAACCACAACGGAAAAGAATATAAAAAAAAGAATGTATATCTGTGTATAACTGAGTCACTCTGCTGTACAGCAGAGATAGGTACAAAATTGTAAATCTACTATACTTCAAAAAATATATATATATAAAACCAAAAACAAAAAGATGTACATATATACAATGGAATATTACTCAGCTACGAAGAAGAATGAAATATTGCCATTTGCAGCAACATGGATGGACCTAAAAATTATCATAGTAAGTGAAGTAAGTCAGACAGAGAAAGACAAATATTATATGATACTTCTCATATGTGGAATCTAAAAAAATAATACAAATCAACTTACTTACAAAACAGAAACAGACTCACAGACATAAGAAACAAACTTATGGTTACCAAAGGGGAAAGGGGAGGGGAAGGGATAAATTAGGAGTATGGGATTAATAGATACACACCACTATATATAAAATAGATAAACAACAAGGATTTACTGTGTATAATAGCACAGGGACCTATATTCAGTATCTTATAACCTATAATGGAAAAGAATCTGAAGCTGTACACCTGAAACTAACACAACATTGTAAATCAACTAAAGTTAAATTTAAAACAAACAAACAGGGACTTCCCTGGTGGTCCAGTGGTTAAGACTCCATGCTTCCACTGCAGGGGGCACAGGTTCGATCCCTGGTCAGGGAAGTAAGATCCCGCATGCCACATGGTGCAGCCAAAAAACAAACCAACAACAACAAAAAAACCCCCACCACCAACCAAAAAAAACCCCACCAAACTAGGTCCTTCCTAGCCATGAACATTCCTTTTTAGCCCCACCGCCCACTCCCACCTACTATGCTGGGACAGTCCAAGAAAAAAATCACAGGACTTCTCGGTGCCCTTTCGTTCTGTTTATAAGGCAATTCTTAGGACACATAACATACCATAAATTGACATGTGACCTATCCAAGCATAGCTCTTAAGGTCTTAAAGACACCTTGCAATATATGGGTGAGATAGGTCAAAGAAGGCATACTTCTCAACATCATGCAGGATAATTTAAAACAACGTTTTCCTAATTTAAAAAGTAACGTATGTTCACTACAGAAAATTTACATAAGCATAAATAAAACAAAAATCACCCAAAGATAATCACTGTTAAAGTTTTTAGGGTACATTTCATTCTAGTCATTTTGCAGTTTCTGTATCAATGGACCCAAGTCCAGTAGAGCTGCATTAGGTGTACACTTAAATTACATTACATTCAAATCATCAATGTTCACAATTCCAGTCACAAGCACACACGCCCCAGAGTAAGGATGATGAGAGAAGTCTCACTTCTTAACCTCCTGTGAATACCCATTGTTCTGTGATTCTAATGTTTAAAACAGGTATTTTTCACACATTCATGGCTCCTAATCAAAGAAACAGCCATCTATGCCTCTCTGAAGGAAGAACTAGCTTTGTTGGATATATTAATACAGGATATATACCAATACAGCCTCTCTCAAGGGATGTTCAAAGGCAATTATGACTACACAAAATTTCTGCCTTACACGATATGATGTCTGTGGACTGTAACTCAAGGGGTGCCATTTTACTTTACTACACTGAGAAACCATTTCCCAACTTAATTAGTTCTAAGTCAATCTTTCTGTATCTCTGTTCCTTCCTTAGGACAGCGTATAGGTTATTAGGTCAAAGGATATGATACGCATTATTTTTTAAGGTCTGCATGCTACCAAACTGTCTTCCAAAAAGCTTAACGTGCTTTCATCATCTTCGTTTACCCATATACCCCATCCCATATAATCCCACTTAAACAACAATTTTTTTTTTTCTTTATTTTGGCCACACTGCACGGCTTGCAGGAGTTTAGTTCCCAGACCAGGGACTGAACCTGGGATGTGGTGGTGAAAGTGCCGAGTCCTAACCACTGGACTGGCAGGGAATTCCCTAAGTAATAAATAATTTTTTCAAAATAGGTCAGTAGTTACACCAAAACATTGCTTTTTTGCCCTATCTCTGATTGCTCTGATGTCTATCTTTTGCTTCAGCTTCTGCCATGGCCTGATTAAAGAAACTAAAGAACTGAATAGGAAAAAGTATATATACAATAGTATTTTAAAATCAGTGTTTATTTCCTGTTAACTATATGCATCTCTTTCAACTAGATTAATATTTGGTTTGGATTTTCCTGGTGGCGCAGTGGTTAAGAATCCGCCTGCTAATGCAGGAGACACGGGTTCAAGCCCTGGTCCAGGAAGATCCCACATGCCACGGAGCAACTAAGCCCCGTGCATCACAACTACTCAGCCCACAAGCCACAAGTACTGAAGCCCGCATGTCTGGAGCCCATGCTCTGCAACAAAGATAAGCCACCGCAATGAGAAGCCCGCGCACCGCAACGTAGAGTAGCCCCCACTCACCGCAACTAGAGAAAGCCCGGTGCAGCAACGGAGACCCAATGCAGCCAAAAATAAACTTATTAAAAAAAAATTTTGATTTGTAGTTCATCCACTTTGGAGATAATGCTCCAGTGGAAGGGGAGTCCTAAACACTAGACTGCTAGGGAATTCCCAAGATCTAATTTTTATAAGTCTATTTTCATATCCTGGAAGATAGTCCAAAGATAATAAAACTTTTGTGGTTCATTTACAGTAAATTATTTTAAAAGAAAAATTCTTGCCTGACAAACATCTCTAAGTGACGGGTTTATTCTGTAGCAAAGATGCTGTTTATTTTGGTAGTTACACTTTCGGCTGCATTGGGTCTTCACTGCTGCCGTGAGCAGGGCTACTCTTTGTTGTGGAGCACAGGCTCTAGGCACTCGGGCTTCAGTAGTTGTGGCACGTGGTTTCAGTAGTTGTGGCGCATGGGCTTACTTGCTCCTCGGTATGTGGCATCTTCCCGGACCAGGGCTCGAACCCGTGTCCCCCGCACTGGCAGGCAGATTCTTAACCACGGCACCACCAGGGAAGTCCCAGTAGTTATAATTTGTGGTAGAAATATCTATACAAATATTTCAATTTTAAAAACGTAAGATGGTCCTTTAACTTTTTATAAATCATTGTGTTGTGTAGTTCCTCCCCACCCCCCAAAAAATAAAGGTTGAAAGTGGAAACGATTGGTACCTACTTCCTTGAAAACTATAGGGCTAGCTCTTATAGGATATTCTGAGGCAGGTTAACAAAGGTAAAGAGGAAAAAGATGAAAATGGAGTATAATCCACCTGTTTAATGATATAGAACAAAAAACAGTCACTTGTTTAATCATATAGAACAAATGCTTTATACTCTAAATGTGTGCTCCATTTTAAATCCTGTTTGAGATAAATGAAAAGTCAATTGAGAGCCATGAAAAGACATGGAAGAACCTTAAATGAATATTACTAAGTGAAAGAAGCCAGTCTGAAAAGGTTACACACTGTGTGATTCTAACAATATGACAGTCTGGAAAAGGGAAAACTATGGAGACAGTAAAAAGATCACTGGTTACCAGGCATTGCTGGGAGGGGACAGAAGGATGAATAGATGAACCACAGAGGATTTTTAGGGCAGTGAAAGTGCTGTATGACACCATGATGATGATACATGTCGCTATACATTTGTCCAAATCCATAGAATGTATCAAGAGTGAACTGTAATGTAAACTACAGACTTTGAGTGATTATGACATGTCAGTGTAGGGTCATCAGTTCTAACAAATGTGCCACTCTGGTGGGGGATGCTGATAAATTAGAGAGGCTATGGCATGTGTGGGAGCAGAGGGTCCATGGGAAATCTCTGTACCTTCCACTCATTTGGCAGTGAATCTAAAACTGCTCAGTCAACTGAGAACCCAGCAACGTTTCAAAGAGATCGTTATAGAGCTAGATACTCTATAGTATCTATAATATGTAGTAATACACACTACATTTTCTTTTTTTTCTTTTTTCTTTTTTTGGCTGTGCTGTACAGCATGGGGGATCTTAGTTCCCAGACCAGGGATCGAACCCATGCCCCCTGCAGTGGAAGCATGGAATTCTAACCACTGGACCACCAGGGAAGTCCCCCATACTACATTTTCAAACATCAGTATATCCATTCAAACATCAACATATCCTTTCTTCATATTCCTGTTCTTAAAGCTTGGCTCCTGTCTTAAGTACTGACTCAAAGTCAAAGGTAACCAAAATTGTTTCTTCTGAAAATAAATATGTCCCTGTTGTGAGAGCTTTGGTCACTTTTGCTCTTTGGACCCAGAATATCACTAAATATTTGAATTGTTCAGTTTGTCCTACAAGTTGGTCTATAGTAAACTTTTTCTTGTTGGCTTCTACCCCTTTTACATTTTTGGAGTTTTTTTTTTAAGGAGAGAGTCAATTGCTTAAAAATTTCCCATTTTAGAACATTTACCCTTGTCTAACAGAACTGTTAGATCAAAGGAGTGGTAAGGATAGACCACACTGGGTTGTGAAATCTTAGGATGATACTCTTGAAAACACTTTAAACTAATTCAAGTGCTCATTTTTAACAGAGGGGACCCATATTTCTACTCTTCTTGGCACATATCTGGGAAGAGACTTCTGCTCCACTCCCACGGAAGGAGCTAAATTAGAGAATACTTCTATGTCCTCCTTCTACCCTTCACTTTTTCATCCTCATGGAAAAGTTTCTTATTATTAAATGAGAATGCTAAGAGTCTGACATTCATTTAGCTACCCTCCTGTAAAGAAAGCAACTATGTAGTATGTTCAGGGGACAGGGATAGAGATACCTCTTGACTGTCATTCTCTTCAGAGCCTTAAATGTTTTTGAAAAGTCTGATAAATAACCTCATACCAAACTGCTCTATTACAGGTGAAGAACATTTCATAACAAAGTCAGACCAAAGTTTTTAAACGCTGCCTCATTAGCAGGAAACTTTTATAAAGTGAAATTGTATATATAAATGCACAGAATAAGATCTGTTTACTGTACTTACCTCTTGGTGGAAGAGAATGGGATGAAATAAGAAAATAATTCTGTATTTTTAAAATGAGTATATATTCATATATTACATTGATAACAAAAGAAAAACAAACAAGTACTTTAAAGCTTAAACACTTACTGTGTAATTGAATTCTGAACACTCTTTTCATTTAAAGTCATTCCGGGAGGTGGGTCATTTTGCAAAGCCAACAGTTCTTTCTGTAGTCGTTTCTAGAAAAGAATATCAGTAATAACTTGTACATTTTTCCCTTACAACATAATATACTTGTATTCACACAGTCTGAAATCCTTGATTAAACTTCGTCCAAATGCTCACGCCTTTTCCTTTACAAGCCCCTTACATCTTCTATATATTTTACATGCCTAATTCTCAAATTTTTAATTGCCTGTCCTATAACTCACAATCTATTGTCAAAATATTTCTAAATATATTTGTAAACTTAGATGTTGTAAAGTGGTTATGAAGAGCAGCCAGCTACCTGTAAAACTTCAGAACTACTCCATTAAAGTTATAAGGTTATAAATGCTTAAAAGTTTTAGCAGGGTTTCCTTTACTGCGTTTCAATTATAAAAACCACAGTTCTCCATAATCCTTAAAGAATGCATCATTTCAGACAGACAGGCTTTCGAGAAGAACTATATTAAGTTAAAAAGTCTTTTGAAAAAGTTTAAAATAATTTTAATTTACAATTTACAGCCCCTGTTTATTTTCTTAAAATAGGATCATTCACATATAATTTAATCTTTCAACACCAGAATATAACATACCAGGGCCTGAGATACATAAAGTTATTTTTTCACATACTAGATGCCCAAAAATGGCTATGTATTTGCATTCTTGTTTGTACAGCTTTTATTGTTCAGTTCTTCCCTTGTTATCATCAGTGGACATTCTTTTTCAGTATACAATAATGCAAAACAAAAACCACAGCAGCCCATAATTTACAGGTTTAAAAACAAAATAACCAATGTTATTAGAAGTGCACGTAACATTATAAAAATTCTTAATGAACATCTTTTCTTGGATTAAAGCACACAAGCATGGATTTCTGTTCAGAACTCCAAACAACTCTCTACTTAAAAGCTAGTTTCTGATTTTTCTAGACAATGAAATATTACTATCAATACAGCAATGTTTCTAGATCTTTTCAATTCATAACGCCTTTAAATAAGCTTACCACCATCTAACAATACTACAGAATAGAAAACTCCTCCCTTCTTTGCTGAGAATCAATGGCTCTTTAAATTGCCAAAAGTGAAAACTTTTCCTCAGATGGTGCAATATCATAACTGCTAGTAACATGGAAAATAAGATACCAACTAATTGCAACTTCTGACCTCAGCTGCCTTCTAAAATGCAAAATTACAAATTGAAAATTAGTTTAGAAAAATTTTAATTATCCAAAATATAGAAATAAAGCTGCATAAACAATTTGTTTTAAATAAAGGAGGATTATATTTATGATAAGTGTCTATGTTAGAAGAGGGTTTTTGATTTATTCTACTTCTGTCAACAAATATGGGTTCTGTGATCAAGTAAATTTTCAGAAACACTGGGCTCAACAACAAAAAGAAAAAAGGATTTTTTTAAAAGCAGGAATTCTCAGAGACTTCTGATATACGAACTTGCACAATGATTCTCTAAGGGGAGGAAGACAACATACAGGCTTCCAAAAGTACTGGAATCCTCTCAGTGTAGGGCATCTTGGAAAAGTCTCCTTTCAATGACTACATTTTGGGAAACACTGCTGTGGAAATCCTCCAATCTTGAAAACTTTACTAAGACAAGGAAGACAGCCCTTGTTATTGAATTAAGATATAAAGGAAGGTCGATTTGCATAGCTACCAACTGAAACAGGATATAAAGGCAAGTTAAGAAGAATCGTGTTGGTGTAATTATTCCTTGGTCTCCTGAAGATAACGGTGAAGAGCACTGTGGAAAAAGAAAAGTTTTCCCCACCCTGACACTACTTATTATAGGTCCACAAAGAAAGGGGCCTGTGGTATAGCCAAACTCCAAGACAATCTCCAAGTAACTGCCTCCTGGTATTCACATCCTAGTGTAGTTCCCTCCCACACTGTACCAGAGTTGGTGTGTGTAACCGATAGAATACAGCAGAAATGATGGTATATCACTCCCAAGATGAGGTTATGAAAGATTATGATTTACATCTGGGTCATTCTCTCTAGAATCACTTGCCATATTGTGAACAGTCCAATTCAGAGGCCTACGCGGTAAGGTTAGGGCCACCTGCCAATAACCATGGATGATTTGGAAGAATCTCCAACCTGCAATCTCCAATTCCAGCCAAGATTTCAGATGACCACAGCTGGGGCCAGTATACTGCCTGCAAACTCAAGCCAGAATCCAGCTCTCTGCTTCAAGACCCTTTGAATTACATGGGATTATAAATGCTTGTTCTTTCAAATCACTAAATTTGGGGGTAATGTGTCACACAGCGAAAGATGATTAATACAGAACCTCTGCTCCAACCTCTCCCCATTAGAAGGGGCTATCATCCACTTCGTCATTTCAATTTCAGTATCACAGGTCAGAATCCAAGACATTCACTGGAGCATGTTTTTTAATTGAGGGGTGGAGTCACTACATTAAAAAGATAATTCATGCCAGTCCCTTACTGTCTCTGCTATCAGGCAATAAACTACCTTGCACATCCACATCCTCTGCAATAAAGAGACAGAGCAGGATGAACATTTGGGGGGTTAATGAGTACTTACTAAGCACACTAATAAAACGAATGATTTACCAGTGTACTAATAAAACTTACCGGGGAAAAGAAAAGTAAGAGTAGAAGGTCAAACAGTGTGTCTGGCAGGCTCACAGAAACAGGGAATTCACTCTTAGGGATCCTTCCCGGAACAATAATCATTAAAGAGGGCAGGAAGTGTCTTTAAGTAAGCAAACAGGTCCCTCAAGGGTCCTCTGGCTCTTCTAAGAAACTGGTTCTAAGAACCCTGAATATGAACACAGAAGCTAAAAAAGGAGGACTTAAAGAGTTCAATGTAAAAATAAAGGAAAATTCATACTCACTTGAGAATGTGAAGAACTAGCGTAACTGTTTAGAGATAACACCATGTGTTTAGAGATCATACCTTGTAGCATCTATCAACAGAAAGCTATCATCACATGAGGAAGCATTCACCTCCTAACTTTGAAGACAAAGCGTTAGCAAAAGTAGATGAGAAACACGTGCATTAGAACACTAGCAAAAGCAGTGATACCACCAGATTATTAGACCATCAGGGCAACATTGGCTGCTTTCCTAGACAGTGGTGAAAATGAGAGCCTAGAATTGAGACAACTGGAAAATAACGTGCAGAAGGTAACTAAGTAAAGAAGCAGAACTACTTACAAACTACTGGGAGCTAAGGGGGCTGAAAAATTAACAGTTCCAAAGGTTCATAGCCAAATACTACCCTGTCTGTCCCTAAATCGGAGAGGTATGGGAAAATTAATTACATATATTACAAACGTACCATGGTTCTCTGAATCTTAGACAATCAATCATAAGATGCACTATTATTTTATGTAATACTAGGAAAGGAAAACTGCTACCAATTAAACAATTACACACCACTGATTAGACATATCTTGATTTCAGATATGTTAAAGTAGGGGAAAAATTGTGCATTAAAAAATGTATGATATATGTTATTAATAAAAGTGTGATTTTCCTGGGGACTTCCCTGGTGGCACAGTGGTTAAGACTCCGCGCTCCCAATGCAGGGGGCCCAGGTTCGATCCCTGGTCAGGGAACTAGATCCCACATGCATGCCACAACTAAGAGTTCGCATGCCACAACTAAGGAGCTGGCGAGCTGCAACTAAGGAGCCTGCCTGTTGCAACTAAGACCTGATGCAACCAAATAAACAAATAAAATAAATATTTTTTTTTAAAAGTGGCTAGAGTAGATAACCCACTTAAAAAAAAAAAGCTTGATTTTCCTAACTCTTTAAGTACTAGAACCACCTGAAAAATAAAAATTAATTTTCTGAGTAAATTTAATATGCCTAAAATGATTGTTCTCTCAATATTTAACACGTACCCGGCGATACATGATCTCAATCAATAAATATGCACTTTATTCCCAGACTGTGTACAGCAGTACATCTGTCTTCCAAGGCAAAAAGGTCAGGCCCAGAATCTAAATGTTTTAAAGCATCCCAAATCTAGAGTAAACCTAAAAATTCTATCTAGCCCTCATCTTGCATTGGCTCAAGTCTGGAAAACGCACAGGAATTTGAGCTCTTCTAAGAGATCCAAGTGGGTTTATATACTCAGTAAAAAAGATCCTGATATACCTAAATACCATGAAAAAAAAAGATTTAACACTTTCAGAACTGGCTTGGCTTTTCAGTGGCTCTATAGTCCAGCCAGACCTCCCTTTCTCTCCTTCCTCATGAATGCAAATGAATCTAAGTGATATGAATCCACTGAAATTTACTACTTTTGGGGGTAAGAAAACCACTGACAAATTTTGCAGTTAACTATTATCAACAAGATGTTGAATGGCATTCCTGTACGTCATCATACGATGGCTGAGAATCTCTAGACTACAACAACATCCTAGGATGTGTGACCCTGCACTTAAGAGTGACACAAGTTCAGTGCCTAAAACTTTTTCCCACTTCAGTACACATGAGGGATTATTCTTGAGATTTCCTCTTCCCTATGACTGGCGCTTACTATAGGGGTCGAGGAGAGTATTTATGTAACATGAAAAGGCTGCCCAGGAGCTTAACGTTTCCTCTTCTCCACTACCACTTCTCCAAGAATCACTAGAGTAGCTGCTTCACAGCAAAGGTCGAGTGTGGGGACACAAAAAGGCCAACAGAATAAAACAGACACATATATTATTACTCTTAGCCTTCTGAGATTTAAAGTCCTCGGAAAGCTCAAGATACAGTTTGGTTTTTTTTGTGGTACGTGGGCCTCTCACTGTTGTGGCCTCTCCCGTTGCAGTGCACAGGCTCCAGATGCGCAGGCTCAGTGGCCACGGCTCACGGGCCCAGCCGCTCCGCGGCATGTGGGATCTTCCCGGACCGGGACACGAACCCGTGTCCCCTGCATCAGCAGGCGGACTCTTAACCACTGCGCCACCAGGGAAGCCCAAGATACAGTTTTTATACAAAAGAGTAAAAGCAATTTAAAGATCACTTTAAAAACTGTAACCACTATGGGAATTCCC